AAGCACTTGTCCCCGTATTGGGTTACTATCATTATCATACAGCATCACCGATTTCTTCATCTCATTTCGCAATAGTTGAAAAAAAAAGTTCCGTTGAACTCCAGAGTCATCCCAAATGACAGGTGCGCAACCGTGATGTCACCGTTCCTCACAGCCCCCTTATCGTTTCCTCATTTGTAGTGCAGATAGTACTAGCAAGGGCTTGTGGTCCTCACACATGTCAAGTGTGGCCGCCGATAACCCCAATGCTAGGGATCAAACCATGTACATGTTGTCAAACACGCTTCAGCTGATGGAGCTACCTCATCGCGCGATTACATGCCTCGTTGTAGATGAGGCTCTTGGGCGTTCAAGTGCCCGTGATGCAATTGCCTTTGATAAGCGTGATAAGTTCGGGGAGATGGAGCACGGAGGGATGTGCGACAACAGTGATTTACTTGGTTTGATCGACACATTGGGTGATACAGCGTGTTAGACACACGAAAGGAACATGTGTTGGCGATAAGTAATGTTCTGTGTAAACTTGGAAGACACACGTGGTTTTCAAACTGAAAGGTGCACTGTCATCTTTTTGTACGACGCACATTTGTTGTATGAATAAGTAACAGATCGTTTTATTCGATAAAAGGATGCGCACACTCTTTTGGGATAGTGCCCTTTAGGTATATGCACAACCAAAGCAACTTTTGAAGAGAACTTAGTATATCAGGAAGCAACGGTCGAACTTCGCCGAAACACTAATCATTTGAAAAACACACATAATATATTGCCCCACCAGCTCATAATATATCTCTTTCAAAGCATATATTTAAATCAAATAAGGTTGTCTTTGCATTGAATAAAAAAAATAACATGCATCTAGCCAGTCTCTATCGCATATTTACTGATGTTACTTCTTTCCTCGTAAAATATACAATAGGTTTTATTTTGCCTTCGTCCTAATGTACTCTACGATCTTTCACTGATCCTCAAACAACTACATACTTTCGTTCAACGTAGGTAAAAAAAATAGGCGGTACATCTCTCCGTGCAACGACTCGGCGAAGTTAAACGCTGTGCCTTCAGCAATATTGTTCAAGCATTTGGAAGGCAAGGTTAAACAAATGTACAAATATATTATGCTAACTAAGAGACGAAATGAGTCACCCTTCTTTGTCGGCACCCTAGTATTTGGAACATTCGAGACTGTCCAAATAGCATTTTGTTCACAGTGTCGAAAGATAAATATGTTAAGAAAACCGTTGCCCTTTCGATAAAGTGTGTTGCTTGCTTTTTACTGTAAACGTTCGCAGGTAGAAATGGGTAATATATAATCAATATGCAACATGTCCAGGTTGTTTATGCATCGTGTTAAGCCTGACGACAAACTAATTTGACCCGTTTTAAGCGGAGGTTTTATCACCGGTACCTTAGACGTCAGGGGTCAGTTTTTCTCGATATGAATGTAAACATAGGCCCGATTTTTTTTTAATTTTAGCGAGTATTACTGGCGCAAATATGAAAAGAATAAAAACTATTTGAATACAGAGATAAGTTGTAAAATTGTTAGAATTGAGCAGGGAAGAAATCGTGACTAACTGCAAAAAATATTCACCATTTTTCCAACATAGTAACCAGGAATATATCCTTTGGGATAAATCGCAGTAGAACGAGGTCCATCTGACATGAAACACATTTGTTCTGAATCTGTTACAAAAAGAATATCTGAAATATTTTTCATTCAGCCTGATTTCCATATATAAATATACCCAGTATGATGATTTAAAACATTTTCAACCTAATTAAATGCCAATTAAACAGTCATTGGTTTATGCACAAATTAAACAATATTTCTTAATTCCAGTCACTAGTGGCATTTTTCTTCTGTAGATTTAAACAATCCCTGTGTGATTCCTAAAATCCTTCCTATTTTTACCGCTTGTAAAAACATTAATTAGCAGAATTAGAATTGATAGCCAAATACAAGCTTTGTAGTAAAAATAACAAGAAAAATGGATAATTTGACAACGACACTACGATAACAATATTCCACAAACATTCAGTTGAATACTGAAGCTGAATTTGAAACATCCTTACGGTGTGACGTGATTCTAGATAGCTTAATTACGCTAATTAGCTCCAAAAAGGAGTAAACTATCGTAGTCAAGACCAAAACAAAAACAAGTAGGCAATGCATTATTTATTAGAAAAACACCACAAATGATCTTTTGGGTTGTCATTTTTATGAATTATTGATGGATTAAATCTTTTTGAATCTAACAGGTGCGGATAGCAATGTTTATTAAAACATCATTGGATAATTGTTCACGGAGTGTGAATACTGTTACTTCATTAAGTATTTCATGTTTCATTTATCAAAAGCAACAGTCACGGCTTGTACTTTAGTTCGACTTAAATATTTATACACACACGTAAACAGCAGGCTCTCTCTTTATTATTTCTCCGCTCTGTTTAAAATATTCAACATTTGAACCTGACAGTGGAACAACAATACCTGAATAAATATCTCAGCTCGTGACATTGAGGAGAATTGACTCAACTTTGTTTATGTAGCAAGTTTGTGTAAACGATTTTTCTCGAATGTGCCTTGTTCCGTCGTGTTAATTTTGTGGTTTGGGTCTAATCGTCTTCAAAAAAGCTAATATCTTGTCAAATCACGCAGAAAATCGGTCTTTACTGTTAACACATTTAATTGACAGTTACGCAAGGTTATTGCTAAAACTTCTGCACTAGTACTACACGTTATTGTTCAACATGTCCGATCATTATTTCCCCAAGAGATTTATTCAACATCACTAATTTTTGCATCACCAACGGACATAGCTTGACCTTCTTACAAACATCAATATCGAACAATTTTGGACGACTACTGATATTTAATGAAAATGTGTCTACTGAAAAGGGCGATGAAATGTCCCAAAAAGCAAATCTGCCGGTGTATAATAACAATTCAGTGTTGAAATCAGCATATGATGTTGTAAAATATACCGATTTGGAATGAATTAATAATGCTGTCTTCCTTTTCTATTGCATTCATGAAAATTTCCCTCTGAAAACATACAATGTCACAAACACGAGTTTCTCGTTTTCAAAATTGTGGGAGGGGATATTTTAACCAGGTAGTAGTCATAAGACCTATTCATGCTATATGCAGAAGAAACAATATGAGGTGCTTCTATTGTCGGTAAATTGCACTGACAAAAAGCTACCTTGAAACAGTCACGCCCTTTCAATACCCGCTCTGCCCTGGTATTCGGTCACATCCGTGCAATACAATTTACAAACCTTCATTACTTCATCTTCTACAAACGCAGAACTTATATCAAAATTTCAAGAAAGACGGGAGGCCTATTACCCATTGTGATAAATATACAGTTCTTTACTCTGCTGGCCCAAAAGACAGATTCCGGAGTTTCAAATGGCTCCCATTCAGCTTGATGATGGCGTACTCAGTGGCTAGGGGATCTAAGTTTTTGTTGTAAGGTGATCCTATGGTCGGTGGATAATGCACTGTTTTCACGCATTAGACACTGCAAGAGGCTAAGCAAGGTATTGTAATCTGGCCACTCTCCATGCTTCTGATTGTTATGTAAGGGAGCCGGGACAATGGGTCCGCGATTTACCCACACTGCTTTAGATTCCGGTGTTGTTATACGTAAACATGTCCGACATCGTTCTTACGGGTACTTAGCATTAGATTTCCCTTCTTGTTGATACTGTTATGCAAGACCGGCCGAGGGACAATGCCCCTCCATGGGCCTGTTCCTTGGTATGATGGGCATGAGGTTTCCCGAGCTTTCACATGGCTTGTTTCGTTTTAGAGCGGCGTTTTTAAAGCAGGTCTCGAAAGCAACTTGGCTGAATAGATGCCTCACGGCTGCGTATGGAGGCATTANTACCCACTTCTGCCAGCAGAGGTTCTGTCCACAGTAGCGTCTGGAAATTCTGGATATTTCACCCTGGATGAGTTGCGTGAGATTCATGATTCTTTGGTTTTTAAAGACACTTCAATAATGAAATCTTTCTGTGATAGACGGCGCATGTTTGTAGGGCAAGAACGCATTATCACTCGTTTTAGTACGGTCAAGGCATCATCAGCGCAACTCGGCTACGCCATACCTATCCGAGCTGACGGCTCGACGGATTCCATATCTTTTCAATGCAACAGATCCATCTTGCTTGTTGGGCTCGGCCTGTATAACGATGTACAGGAATCGGCGACTTCGTACGCCGTGAGAGTTCACCTGAAGGACCAAGACTGCCAAGAACTGGCCAATTTTACTCGTAAAGGGCTGACATGGTGCGGATGGCGCACTTTTAAGGTAGCATCTCCGCAACCAGTGAGAATTCAACCTAGCGTCTGGTACACTGTGAATGTGGAGTTAACGAGTCCTGGGACGCTCAAAACTTACTGGGGAGCAGGAGGACAACAGAGGGCAAGATTCGGGGACACCATATTTGAATTCAAGGATTTCGCTAATAGCAGAACCAACGTACAGGAGGGACAAATACCGCAAATATATTTCAAAGAATTCTTATATTAAATTTCCAAAAACGACTTTGTGAATAAATTCGGTTGAATATGAACAGCGTGTTTTTGTCGGGATTACCTCCATAACGATTAATATTATGATGTGTTCTTATTACCTCCGCCAAGGAGGTTATGTTTAGTATTTATTATAGCTCAGTCAAAACGCAAGGATGAAGGGCGGGTCCCATACCGGGTGTGGTCCATACCGGTTGTGATGTGGGTCCCAGATGGATTTCTCCATGAGCTCCACGTGGGTCCCATGTGGGCAAGAAGATCAACTAAAATAAGGGTTCCACAAAGGACCCATATATGGCCGAACGTGGGCTAATGCAGTTTTTTTTTTTTTTTACTTACATAGGGTGATTATTTGCTCTTAAGTTATAGAGGGCCTATGCAGTTTTTTTTCCCCAAGGCTTGATTTTGGAAAGGGACGAGAGAACCGCCCCTTTTGCTGGGAAAAGGTCCACTCTGGGTAAAATTTGATCTAGGTACATGAAGTTTTTATGGATAAAGGTCCACTTTTTCAGAAAAAGAACCCCCTTTTGAAATAGCTGGCTACGGGCCTGCTTGTAGTATGCATAATGGAGGATACATTGGCACTTTTTGCTAGTATGCGGGTGAAATTTTTCATGAGAAAATAAGAAAATTCAATGACTCCCCTATGAAAAAGCTATTTATTTGATATTTGGTGATCATTTCAAGATGGAAATATTTGAAAGTTTGATGGTAAAATATCAGGTGAATAAAATGAAAAAAAAAAATCATGAAAAGTCTTCATCTTCATACCCATGGGATTTGGACATCCATGAAGAAAAAGACTCTTTATATTAAGTCACCATGCCATTTCAGTGTGAATTTTCAGATGCAACAATATTTTCTCGACTTCTCATAACATGGAAATGTTAAGGGAATTTTCAAAGTCAAATGAAAAAATGTTATTAAAATAGAATTTATTCAGCTTAGACAGTACAGTCAATTATAAATATATAATTTCAATTGTTTTTAAACCTTTATCAAAGTGTATGATAAATGTTTAAGTATAGCATAACAGCTCCATGTGTCTCACAACTATGGTTAACCTTGAATTTGAAGGATTACAACCATTTCAATTTCTACAACATAATCGCATTACTATCACTGCTATTTTCTTTGCATTTAAAGCAGAGTGGTAAAATATGCATTCAATATAGTCTGTTTTTGATACATAGGATTTAAAATAAAGGAAGTCAGTCATTAGATGACACTTACATTACAATGGTAAGACAAATATAAAACATTAACTAAATATGAAAGTACAGCGTACACAGCTCTTTGGCTCTCTTCCTGAACTCTCCCACACTACAGTACTCGGATGCAAAAACCTTGCAAGACATTTGTATAGAAACAAGACCTTGCTATGATTGCCATAAAATAGCATCTTATGCATGATTTCTTCAACAGAAATAAAAAAAAAAAAAAAATCAGGAACATTCGTTGACATATGCTGATCAAAAAGCACCTGGTTTCTATGAAAATCCCTTGATCCACATCATAAGCTTTGCAACTACGTGATTTTGATGACATAGAAATGATGTTTATGCTTTTAAGCACTACAAAATATATAAAAATTTCAATTAACTAAATATCAATGAGCTTCAATCAATATAATGATAAATCTATCACAAAATATTCCAATCTTTTTATACACAAAATGGACTAATAATAACAATGATATTGAATTTTGATGGAAGATTGCATGGATATGCAAACTGCAACCAGACCAGAAATCCTAGTTGGCCAATCTAGCTACACTTGAAAATATACACAGCTTCCAACATGTATTTGAATTTAAACTTTTGTCACAAACCCCATCCAAATGTCACCATTAAGTTTCAAATAGAATAATCAATCTCAGTAAATGTATACTGACAGTCAATGAAAATGCATCATTTATTTATCAAGTAATATTTTTGTTCCTTTGGCACATTAAGAAAATAACAGTTTATGTGTGAAATATGACCCATTATTCAGGTACACAAAGTGAAATAAAGGTCAGAAAAGATCATTTAAATGTCATGTGTCATACTGGATTTGGTGACTACCTTAAATAGGCTTAATCAATCACCATATATTGAACCTGATTAATGCTTTATTCATACTTTCTGATTGATTCACACCAATCACAAGACAGAAAAAACACATGATTTTGTAACAGCTGATCACAAAACCACTGAAGCTGAAATTTTAAACATCCGAGTGGTCAGCCCACTCTCTTATGACCAAACAAGTGCATTTGTACTCGTTTATATGGTTGGAATCGAATCCAGACCGAGTTGACCCCACATCCTCCCCCATCCAGAGTTAGACACAAGGGTCGATGTACCATATTATTTTTTGGTTGAGTCGTCAGTAACTTCAGCATGATGTACATTAGTTTCAGTTTGAACTTCAATCATTTCCTGAAACGGAAAGTTGGGACTTCTGACAAAAGATGTGCAAAGGTATAATATTTCACATAACTGAATCATTCAATTAATTCTATCTTATACTATGATATCAATTACCCAAAGAGGACATTAAAAAAATCTAATTTCTTAATGGCTATTATTTTCAGTATTATTGTGCTTTTAAGTACTGAAATTGCTACCTATTTTTTCAAAAGAGAAGTTTGCTACAAATGCATCCTTTCTTTGACTTGGGTTCAATAAAAATTGCTTTTGATATATTATTTCAGATCAAATATTACTCTGTAATCTATAAAGTCAATATAATTTAACAGCTGAGGGAAATATATTATTACATACCTCTGCATTTTCCAAAAAAATTGGAATAGCAGGTGTCAGTAGCGCCAACAGTACTTCACCAGTTGGCACCTGGTCTGCATTGAGCACTTCTGTCACTGAAAAAATTATTCTTTTTTTTTAAAGCAATTCCTGCTAAAACTACTAGTAAACATACATTGTAAAGTGACTGGGAGTGATCACTAATCACTCCATTTGTATAGGAATTTTTTTTTTACTAAAGTTATTTTTCTTAATATGTAAATCAATTATCATATATATATATATATATATATATATATATATATATATATATATATATATATATATAAAGAAAAACAGAACAGCAACTTTTTTGCCCCGACCGGTTATATATATATATGTTTCTATCAAATCTATTATCTTAAGTATGGCTATGTACATATTAAATAACCTTTATCACATTAAGTGTTACAAATATCAATTATTATTTTTGATTAAATGAAGTATATGTGCTTCAAATACCAAGGCCAGTAATACTTCAACTGCTACATTACCTGCAATATCACACAAGCTGACAAATCTTAGATTTTGAAAGTAACCAAGGAGAAGCTCTGCTTGCGGGAACTCTGCTTCAGTGTGTATAACAAAATGATTTCCATCGTCTGCAATAATCCTGATGTCTACTTCATACAGCTGTGCTGCTGCCCACAGAATTAAAGCATCTCCCTGCGTGTCACTGTGGCTCATGTGACGAAGGTACCACCTCCACTTAATTTGGCACAGCTGGTTTTGTTTGGTGTGCCAGTCCTCGGTTGCAGTCTTTCGGAAGATATGTGCTTTTTGTTCTTTGTATTTCCTCCAGGAAGGGTCGTCATCATCCAGGAAATGCACCAGTGACATACCATCTGTCTGGAATATTTTTTTCACTCATCACTTAAACTCTGTTTGTGACATAATCTAATTTACTGTAATGACTCATCTTTTCAATGGGCGAAATTGTAAATTGTACAGATTCTTAAAATTAGAACATTCCTATTGAGTGGTAGTGACAAAACTGAAAGCAGGTAACCTTGTATTTCTTTTGTATGTAGTAAAAACACCACAAAACCTATATAGAAATATAATTTTAATGATTCTAAAAAGATCCTAAAAAGAAAGATTAATCATTTTTTCCCATTGAAAAGATCCAATCATTAACATTATACAACTGATATCTGTAAATGGGCAAATTATGTTTGCTTCTTGAAACGATGCTTCAACTAGTTTAATTGCAGAGAAATTAGCTAATTTCTTCTTTTCAGTCTTTCTGCCATTTAAGCATTCTGCATAAATGTTTGAAATACTTAAACTACAGATTCCTTTGGTCAACAAAAAATATAATAATAAAAATTTTCAAACCTTTTTTGGATTGTTTCTCAGATGCTTAACAATTTCTTCTCGAAACTTTTGTCCTGTTGTCCGCAAGCTAAGATGTTCTACTAATTGATCAGCCAATGCATTAAACATGCAATTCTCATTCAAAGGATCTCCTACTATTTCTTTGTTATTATCTTTGGCATAGTCACTTAAGAATCCATCATCCAATCTTTGCTCTTGAAGGAAACTCTGCAGGGCCGTAAAATTTTCCCCGAATTCTGAAACCATTTCAAGGTAAAATCAGTTTTTCATTAGTACATGTATTATATTTTCAGCATGCTTGTGAGATATTGTGAGATTTCTAAAAATCAAAATCAAACTGATAAAATATGAACTCTAAAGGGACAATATCTGCAGACATGGCAAAATTAGTCTTTCATTGTTACTTGTGTCAAGACGTTACCTAAGAACAATTAAAATGAAGTCATGCTTCATAAAGCAGCTATAGTAGGCCTTATAAACAGATTAGGCGTTAACTAACACTGCCTGCATATCTTTTGGCACTAACACCCATATTAACCATATAACCTGCAGATTAACTACCACTACCAGAGCAGATGAATGTTAGTGCTAGGAATCGCATTGGTGTGTTGGTTAAAGGGATAATTACTCTTCGTTTTGGCCAAAAAATGAATTTTCCTGGAGTAAACAACAATTTTCCCATACTAACCAATGGTTAATCATATAATGAATCCATTTTTACATTCAAAGTTAGTCCCTGTTTTTTTTTTCTAAAAAGTTTGGTTTTTTGTTAAAATCTCTTAAGAGATTATAACAGAGTATAGCCATAAATGGAGGTCACATGGTTTGAAGACAAGCTCAGATATCAGAATAATTGCTATAACTGCTGTTTTTGTCTTAAAACAGAATATATTATAGTTCTATGAGTTATTCGCAATGTTTTTAATATGAAATATAGACCTCACACAAGGAGTTATTATCCCTTTTAATTGTGGGTTATGTGGCTAATATGGGCCTAAATGCTAAAAGATCTATGGGTAGTGTTGGTAAATGCCTAATCTGTTTATAAGGCCTGATAGGTGAAACACAAATTTAGTCTCTTCAGAAATGATCTTCCTTTTCACCAATATTTGACATTTTTACTCACTGCTAAAAGCTCTGTGTTTCAGGAGTTTCCTTGGACCTGCCCTGTGTCTCAGTTTAACACCAAGTCCCCGGGAAAGTAAATCTTGGAAATGCTTGTCAACAGAGCCAGGCAGACAAGCAATTAATTCTTCTGGTCCAGTGATTTCACATTTTAACTGAAAGTTGTCAACAGTAATTTACTTTTGGTCATGTCTGTTAGAGATATAACATTAACTAGAATATCAGAGAGGATCAGAGAGGCCATACCGCCTCTGGGTATTATGCCACCAGCTGAAATAAAAAAAAGGACACCATCTCCAGTGTTGTGCTTGGCAAGATGTAAAAAATGCAGTCTAGCGTTCTAAATATTTTTATTGAAAATTACAGCTTAAAACAAATTCATGGGGAAAAGTAAAAGTTAAAATCCAAATTTGTGAAGTGCGATTCATGGCAAAAAGTAGGTCAAAGTTCAATTACAGGATCACAGTTAGATTGCCAGTTTATAACTTCCTACTCAAGTTCAATAGTAACTATGGGCATATCTCTGCTAGTTTTGGAGATATAACAGATAGAAAGGTTGCAAAGTTCAGTTCATGGTGAAAAGTAGGTCAAAGGTCAATTTTAAGGTCACCGTTAGATTGTCAGTATATGACTTCCTATTCAAGTTCAGTTGTGACTATGGGCCTATCTCTGCCAGTTTTGGAGATATAAGGGATGGAAACTATGCAAAGTTCAGTTCATGGTGAAAAGTAGGTCAAAGGTCAATTTTAAGGTCACAGTTACATTGCCAATATATGACTTCCTATTCAACTTCAATAGTAACTATGGACCTATCTCTGCCAGTTTTGGAGATATAAGGGACTAAATGTTACAATTTTGGAGTTACAGTAATGTGCCATAAATTTCCTACAGAAGAAATTAATTGAAATAAAGAAAAGGTCATTTTGGTTGAAATTCTCAATTGAAGTGTGAGGTACTAAAAGGTTCAAGATGTTCAAATTTCATGAAATTACGCCATTTTTGACCAAAAGTTGTCTGCCTTGCCAAACCTTATGATATCTTTTCCAGATGTTCAAAATTTATTACACATTAACATATTGCACATTCTGCTTTCACCATCACAATGTACTTTTTGATACAGCGTAACTCGTAAAATGTAAGGAAAACAAAAAAATGGACACCATCAGTGTTGGGCTTGACATGCACTACAAAATGCAAAAAACAAGAGGTCTCTAGCATTAACGGTTCCAGAATTAGAGAGAGTTTGCTGTTTTGGCATCTAATGGCCCCCTGCTACCATGAAAATGCACTGATTGACCCTAAACTGACGGAGATGAAAGATGTCCCTAATGGCAACACCTGCCAATAATATTATAGGTTAGGTCTGTGTAGTTTCTGAATATTGGCACAAATAATTTTTTTTTCGTAAAAAATTCCTTTTTTTTTT